TATAATGAACGAAATACATTCATATGGGGGAGCTGATGAACTGATGATCTTTAGCTCTTAAAGAAAATCGTGAGCACCAGAACACCTTCACAGTAAATAAAAAATGTGATGAGATTTGCTTCAATGTGCTCGATTGTAATCCACAAGACTTACTAGAATGATTCTTGAGTATTACTTAGAAGATGAAAGCTTCATATTTTGAAACTGTAGCCTTTAGCTTTTAAAGAGTTTCATCTTCGACCTGAATTCCTTGTCGACTTGTCTCGCCTGTGTTATTACTTTCATAGCTTTGGATAGCGAAAGATATGCAAAGCAATGATTTTTTAACTGCATTAACAACCATCGTTAATCTCTCCAACTGGTTGAAAGCGCAAATAAAACTTAATTTTCGTCCAAAGGTGCTTCTCTTTATATACCCTACGCCACCTATATATCTGCTTCTATGTACGTCCATCCGTCCGTCCCAAGCCTGTGTTCAAATTGCAGGTCGCAATTTAGGTTTTTGCCGTATTTTCGCGTAAGAACGAACCATTCTAAAAATTAAATGGACAGAAACACTTTTGCGACCGCTCCTCATATAATGTCCCATTTCAAAAAAAAAAAAAAAAAACCCATTATGTGGAGCACATTTGAGATTTTTATGATTTCTCAGGAAAAACCCGTCGAAATTACTATTTTCGCGTAGTAAATGAATGTTATGAATGAAAAATGAGTCGTCAGGATGGGTGGAACAATTTCCTGAAGGACCCCCATAGTTAGAATCCTTTCCTAATAAGCATACCTTTACATAACAATAAAGCCATACAGTTTGGTGAGTGAAGAACAATTGAATTTAAAATTGAGGGCATAAAATTTGGACTGGGCTTCTGGACTCACCCTTTTCAAGATGGCCCAGACAACTCATCCTATGTAAGACTTTTTCGAAAAATTGCTTTTATTTTTCTCTATTTCATAAAATTCTTTCTTAAACTTTGAATTTTAGTCGAGAGAAGAATCGTGGTATGGTACTTAGTGGGCGGTCTTCTCCGACTACAGCGTCTTAATTTGTTTTTTTTTTTTTATATATATATAAATTTGAACTTCTTATTAGCAATTTTGTTAGGAAAATCATTTGTTTTTTCTTATAACCCTCCTCTAAAATGATAAAATAATTAAAAAATTTCTACGAAATTTAAAAGTCTTTTAAGCGTTTTATCATTAAACCCTTCTCTCTCGCTCATTCTTGCCCAAAATAGTCAATCAAAGGGATGGATCGATCGATCAATCAATAGAGAGTATCATCAGCAAACTTTCAAAATCACAGAAGCAGCCAATTCTTCAGCAAAATGGATTGAAAAAAATGTTTTTTTTTTTTTTTTTAGTAACATAACTTAATCGTGTGTTCGTTTGTGTATATGCGTGTGCGCGCACGTGTATGTTTGTATATGGCGCGCTTTTAAAAGAGAAAAAAAAGAACCAAAATACAATTTTAATAATTGGTTTTTGTCTGGGCATCTGGTTGTGGCGGTGGTTAATACACGTATCCCTGTACGCGGACATTTATACATCTAACCATGACGCTAAGTTACGGTATAATCATACACCGTAGTCACCAAAGAAAGCACAAACGTCGTGGACACCATCCGTACACATTTACCGGTCTTTTGGAATTTAGAGGGTAGATGATACGCCGTACATTTTTTTTAAGCTACAAAGACCTAAAGAAAAGAAAACAATTTTTATTATAACTCGAGAAAATTACTGATATTTATTTTGTATAACATATACGTAATAGTTTTTTTTTTTTTTTTTTTTTTTTTTTGTTAAAGGTTCTGTCCTTTATAATTTTCGAATGAGATTTTGAATTATGATCATCACATACGTAACGTAACGTTTGTGTCCGGAAAGTAAATTATTTTGGAAATTATTTATGTGTACGTGTATTGGAATGTGTGAGAGTACGGATTAATAGCGATTTCATTCATTTTTGCGTTATACGCATTTTAAGGTTGCTTTGTGTGTTTGCACTATTTTTTTGTTTTTTAATTTTTGACTCTTTTTCGATTATACGTTGCAGTCTAAAATCATTGATGGCCACCAAATCAATGTGCGTTTGTGAGAGCGTGTATCTATCTACATTGGACTGATTTACCATATTCCTGTCGTATTATGGGAACTTTGTGGCACTTTAGTTCAGCAATTTGTTTGCGTTGTCGTGGCTTTCTCTACTTCGTTTCTTTAAACGCAATTAAAAGTAATTGATTCTATTTTTCTTTTTAAAGTTCTTTTTAAAGTCTCTGGCTAGCCAGAATCATTTGATCATGCATAACTATCAAGAGATTAAAAAATCTAAACTTTTTTATTTATCCTACAATCTGAAGTTAAAGTGAGTTAAAGTGAAGGCTCGGTGAGTTCTTGCCAGCATGTCGTACGGTTCATATGGAATACTACCTTGAAGTTATGCGCCGATTGTGCGTGAAGCAATAGGAAACGACGCATGGAAGTGTGGAACAACCGGTCATGGATATTGAACCATGACAATGACTACGCATCAACTAGAAGAAAGGAACCACGAAAAGGATAAATGTAACGTTACGTTAATGGTTATGTTGTAAAACGATGTGCTTCCTGTCTTGCTATTAAGGTATAATAGAAAACAAATTTCTCTTTTTTCCAGTCTATTACATCGCGCTTAATATCATACGTTAGCGGAGGGTACAGATTTTAGTAGGAGTCTGTTTTTACTTTTATTTTTTACTATCAATTGCGGTACAAGCCAAGTACAATTTTTTGATGTGGGTCAAAATCGCCTCTACATTTTCTATATACATATTATGATGGAGTTATGGGGAAGCAATATCATCTCGCGTAAATGTGATCATGACTGTTCTTCTTCTTCTTCTTGTTACTCAGTTGAAAATAATTTTCCCTAATAGTTGAGCATAAATTTAAGCTAAAACTAAACAATTGCCATTTAGGTAAGCAATAATATGCCATTGAATAATGTTTGCAAATTATTCGAATTTTTGCTTCGGTTTCGATTCGGTTTAGATTAGTGATATGAATAACTTTTGATTAATTTGTTTTATTACACACTTACTCAATTCCCAAGCTAAGATGGAATGTAGACTGCATTCATTCATAATGGCGGTGGCCTCACTGAGATGTGGTCAAGCTAAACTATATTGAGCCAAAATTGTTACCATCAATCGTTATATTTATTGCTCTACGTTAGCCGCTTACTTCATTGACGAATTGTAGCTATCGAATGTCCCCGATGAGATGCGTAGACATCACTATATAAACTTAATAATTAATAATCGCCAGAACTAAGTTCGCAGATGTTGCCTCTAACAAAAAATTAACATTACATTTAGAAAGTGCAAGCTCTGAAATGTCGATTGTCAGAATTTCATACCATTTCGTTTATTTATATACAAGTTACAGAGACTGTAGTGGTGCTCATTTTATTAGTTCTTAAAGCAATGAAGAAAACCGAATATCAAGTTATGATTGAGGAAGATTTTTGAATGAAACACAAGTAAGACAATCGAATCTTTTGTACTCATCACCGTTATCCTAGGAAAGACGAAAAAAGTAGAAGAAAAAAATTGTCATGTTCTATAAGACGGAGTGGGCGCATTCAAGTTTTTCTATTTTCAAAATAAAAGTTTTTGCCGTAGAGCCATGTGGGCAGTGCAGGCGTGTCCTTGAAAAAATTTATGTCAATTCAAAATTCTTTTGCAAATTTTTAGACGATATCTTCTTTTTCGCTAACGGGAGAATGTTTAACACAAATACTACCAATTTGTGCAAAAAGACAGATGGACAGACGAACAGGCGCATTCCAAATTTGAACTTAGTCAAGAAATTATTTTGAAGCTTACTCCTGCACGTTATAAAGATATTGAAAAAAGGAATTAAACCTTAATACACTATAATATCGGGTAAGCTTGGTCAATGTTTTCAATTTTTGTACACAAATGGTACGGTATCGCCCATAGAATATGCTTTCAAACTTTTAAAAATTTATTTGCTATAGTTTATGAGAATTGAGCAAAAAATCAATTTTTTATGCCTTTTAATAAACAGAGATGTTCTCAGTTTATGTGGTACTGTGGGCGTGTCTTTAGACCGATTTGGCCCATTTTCAAGAATTTCCAATGTTCCTGCCAAATTTAAATCCGATAGCTTCATTTTTGCGGCCAAGAGAATGTTTACAACATTAGAGATTATAGAGACGGGTCGACGGACATGCCTAAATCGATTTAGAATTTAATGCTAATCAAGAATATATATACTTTGTGGGGTCTCCTTGTGGGCTTCCTTGTGGGCGTTTCAATCGTTTTGCCAAAATGAATAATCTCCGATCTCTAGGTGCTGGGTATAAAAAGTCGATTCATATTATTCTCGATCCAAATGGAAAAGCGAATTTTCAAGACATAACTGACATTGTGAAGAAATCGAAAAGTAGTATATTTATTATTTTGCATGAAATTTGAACTAGGAATGCGTAAAAAGAAAACACATTTTCCAACTCCGCATCTCGTTTACTTATAATGAAATAAAATCATCGAAAGACCATGTTGACGAATGAAGTCATTCAAAATTTGCCAAAAAAGGGAAAGAAGAATAAAAGTTTTATTTTTCCACTCGATATCTTGAAATTTTAAGCAATATATTAAAAATACCCTATAACTGATTTTCTTAGATCACAGATATAATTAATACCCGACACCGAACGTTTGTCGTTGCAGTCATTGGCAGATATAAATTTCATTACTGGAGTATAAATGTAAGTGAAAGCTTTAACTGACTGATATGAATGCAATAATGATTAGTATTAATACCGTACAATATGAATATCGCAAGGCATATAGAAAAGAAAGGAAAGTGTAGCATAAGATTTCAAATTGTTTTACTTATTTACTTACCTAATTGTTCTATTAATATTTTATATAATTAAAATATGTATTTTAATTAAATTTAAAATTATCCAAAATATTTTCTCTTTCTAACAGATACCGTGAGGACGCACTATGCTGGGGCGATAGGTAAGTTATTCAACTACCCAGCATCATTATTCTATTTGATCAATTAAATGTGTTTTCATTTTTTTGTCTTGACTTCAAAGAAAAAAGAGAAGAAAAAAAAAAACAAAAAAAAAAACAGAAAATATAAGGAGAAAAAAGTTAAAACGAATAATGCATTTATTAAACTCATATATAACAACATCATCACTAACTGTCGATTTGTACGTATTTGATATTAATTTTTACAAATCTAATGCGCAACACATTTGCCGCTTTATTAAATTTAAAAGAAAAATGCATTTAACATGTTTTTTCTTCATCTTCTCCTCTTTCTATTTGGCTTTTTTGTACCGTCAATATTATCATCATCATCATGACCATCATTATCACCATTATCATCATTCTTGTGCGTCTGTCTACATCAAAACATAACATCTTCAGATACGCACATATTTTAAACTGAAACATAGATTATTTGTAATAAGTATTTCTTAAGTATTTTTATGCAACAATAGATATAAAAAAAAAAAAATAAATGTATTAACTTCTTCTGGTTTTTCTTTTTATTTTTTTCATTTATTGCATTATAACAATCGACCACGAACGCTTAGAAAATCTATGGAAGAGATTGGTGCCGCTCAGTCATCGGTAAATGCGAGGTAAGTGATAATGTTGATATAACTCTTAAAGCGAACGGGCATACGATCGATGCTTGATATACGTTTGGTTGGAAAAAGCGAAAACAAACACTGTAACACGTATTTTTGTTGCCGTTGCTGTTATTATTATCATTGTCATTGTTGTTGTTTTTGTTGTTGTTGTTGTTGTTGTTGCTGCTGGTGTTGTCGTAGTAAGTTAACTTTGATGTTATTGCATTTATTGCAGTTACAGTTGTTGTTGTGTTTACTCTTGTATTAAGCTGGTAATAATGGGTTTTGTTGTTGAATTTTTTAACATAAAATTATTGAGGCGCATCATATATAGCTGTCCGTCCGTTTGTTCATATCTCTTGCCTAGTGATTTCATTATTTAGTTTTATTGAGTCGATTTTTTTTTTCTTTTATACGCATACGTATGTACTCAACTCTTTCTATGAGGTGCTGTTTTTGGGCTGTCGTTATATTGTATGTCTGTGCGCGATTGCGCAAAACATTAAAACCTAATGACAACTCTTTGTAGTTCTTCTCAACCTACCAAACAGTGTCTGCGACATGTTTAATTCTGTGATTTTTCTTTAAGTTCGTAATGCTGTTATTGTTATTGTATGATATTGTTGCTGTTGTTGTTGTTATTTTCATTCTCGTGTATTTCCAATATTACACATTTTTATGGGGATTTCTTGTTATCGCGGCGATTGCTGCAGCTAATGCTTTCGCTGCTGGTTTTTACTGTTGTTGTTTTTGTATTTTTAATGAGAATTGTCGCATAAAAAGTACAAATATCAGACTAATTGGATTTATCTCGTGACTTTTGTTACAAAGCGTAGCGCCACTACTTTTTAATACATGCGCGAACACAACATAATACACAACAACATAACATTACGCATAACGTTACACTATCGTAGCATCTTTAATATAAACTCGCTCGCTACTTCCACTACCGTTGCTACTGCTACTACTGTTATTACTGCTAATGTTACTGCTGCTGCTGCTGCTACTGCTGTTGCGGCCGCTGCTGTTGCTGCCGCTAGTGCTGCCGCTAGTGCTGCCGCTATTGCATTGAGCCAAGTTGACGTATTTTATTGACATAGCTCACAACAACATCAAACACATTCTATTGCATTTATTACGTTAATGCGTTTAGTTGTTATTGTTGTTGCTCGTTGTTCCTGAATGAAGACTTTCTCAACATTTGTGTGGTGTTTGATGAGAAAAGGACATCAAGTCGCGGAATTTCGCATTTGAAGTTGTATAATAATTGTTGACAGACGCTTATTTATTTTTTTTTTTTTTTTGTTTTTTGTTTTTGTTTACTTCTCTGCGGAAATCTTCTACAAATACTGTGAACAACGACGCATGCATTTGCGAATGTGAATGAAAAGTTTTATTGTAATAATTCCAAAAATTCTGCTAAAGAATTTTTATTTTAATTTTTGCGAATTATCACAATTCACACAAAATTGGGAAATTTTTCTAAATTTCGGAAAAGGGGGAAATTTTGCCGATTTGAGTCAGGAATCGTAAATTGTTGTTTCAATCTTAATTAATAAGGCACTGCATCCTTTGACTTGAAAATTTTATGGAAACTTTCTTTGAACGCAGTTGACGCTCAAAGTAGATCTTCATAACTCAAAAGTGAAAATGCAAGAAATATCTCACATTCTAAGCACATCAATACTGCCTATATCGACAACTTTTATGAAAATTTGGGCGCAAGAAAAGCGTTTTCCATATGGGTACAACGTTCACTCGCAGTCGAATCGCTGCTCCGTGCGCCGTGTGTTTTTAATCCATTCCCAATGGGCATTGTCTCCTTGCCGTTCTATAAAAAACAATGAAGACAATTAAATTCAGTCGGAACAGAATCTTTTACACCCATCACCGCCTACTTTGAAAAAAGTCAAAAGAAGTAAAAGAAAAATATTCTCATGCTCTATAATATGGATAGCGCAGCTAAATTTTTCTATTTTCAAAATAAAAGTTTTTGTCATAGGGACATGTGGGCGTTGACGGCGTGTCCTCTTATGTCAATTGCAAATTCTTTGGCGCTATTATCATTTTCACTAACGGAGGAATGTTTACCACAAATGTTTCAAAGTAGTGCAAATAGGCGGATGGGCAAACGAACAGGCGGACGTGTTTAAGGGCATTCAAGAGGTGTAACTGGCCAGGAATTTGAGATTTTTTTATGAGATTTTTCATGTTTACTTCCGCGTATTACACAGGTATTGAAAAAATAATTAAATTTTGATACACTATAACATTAGGTAGGCGTGGTCAAACTTTTGTACATTTATTTGCTATAGTTTATGAGATTTGAGCAAAAAAGCAATTTCTCATTCCTTTTGAAAAACAGAGGTGTTCTCAGTTCACGTGGTGCTGTGGGCGTGTCCTTGGACCGATGTGGCCCATTTCCAACACCAATTTGCATGCAAGAATTTCCAATGTTCCTGCCAAATTTAAATCCGATAGCTTCATTTAAAATTCATTCAAAAAAACGTTTACAGAGAAGGACAGGCAACCAGACGGACAGATGGACAAACGAATTAGAATTTAATGTTGATCAAGAATATATATAATTTGTGGGGTCTCCGATGCGTTGTTTCCATCGTTGTAAACGCTTTGATGAAATCAGTGTACTCCTCGCCCTACGGTTATGCGTATAAAACGTCTTGAATATAGTCCACTTTTTAGAAAAAAAAGCTTTTATCATTGCATTGACCAATTTGTTACGTTGTATTTTATGCTGCATGTCCTGATAAAATTTGATTTATTACTTATATTCACTATGGAATAAAAAAGATTCTCACCTAGTATCTAACGGGAAAGTCCAAAGTCCAAACTCTTATTCACTAGGGAATAAGAAGATTCTCATCTAGTATCTAACGAGAAAGGCCAAATATACGCTAGAACAAGTGACAGTGCATCTGTTCGATATAAAATTACATAGGAGCACGTGACAGCGTACAATGGTGTATTATTTATTTCCAACGCGATGAAATATTTTTACACCCAACGCCAAAGCATGAGTGGAAGTGTTCAACCTATCACAGCGTTTGCTGCATCCAGAAGGCAGCGTCACCGATCCCAACCGTCTGTCTGTCTGTCCGTTTGTGCGTTAAATGTCTATTGTTAACGTCCCCTGGCATTTGGATGTTCTTGCACTTGAGTGTGTGTTGAAAATGGGCTAAATCGGTCGAAGGGCTTGCTGCTTACAGCAGCGTGTAAACTACAGACACCTCCGCTTTCCAGAAGGAAAGAAAATTTTTTTTTGCTTCTCGCGCTTTAGTAGCGATTCGCTGATAAAAACTCGGTCAATCAAATTTTTTATCGTTTGTTCATACGTCATTCCTTGAGGAAGTGGTTTAAAACTATTTCGATATAGAATTCCTTAGCAAAAGTACGACAGTATATGTGTCAATTTTATATGAGTTTTTGTGAGATTAGTGACTGTTCGATCAGATCGACTTGAAATTGAAAATTTTAGAGCATAAGCAAGCGAACCAGCGAGATGCTATCTTCATTGTTAGAACATTTTAACCGTAAGCACCAATAATTTGTTTCGCTTTAGCGATTTCTCTGAATTTTCGATCATTTTCGTTTTAACGCGATGGACGTAGACTGAAATTTTGTCTTTCAAACGCAAGTCAATGTTACGCATTCTGATACTTTGCACGCAAACGAAAATACTTTGTGAATTAATATTTAATGTAAAGTATCATAAGCAGAGATTGATTTTTTGAATATGAAACTATTCTGAATTTGTGATAAACTGATCAATGAACCAAATTCGTTTTTCTACAAAGTGATTTGATATATGCTGAGCATTCATAGTACATCGCTTTCTTAATTGTCTTCTTTGAAAGTCATTTTAACGGGTTTTTTTTAATAGTTTTTTCGTGGCATCTTGTCATTGCTTAGACTCTACTAAACCATATTCTGCTTTATAAATTAGCGACGTGAAATATGGGTTTTACGCATTACAAATGCCGAAATGCAGGCCAAGACTTTTAAATGGTTATGCATCGCCAACAAGAGCATTATATTCCAAAATAAATATAAACAAGTAAGAAGCTTATATTCAGACGTGATCGAGCCTCTTATATCCCCCCGCCGTTATCTTGAAAAAAACAAAAAAAGTAAAAGAACTAAATTTTCATATTCTATAATATTGAGTGAACGCGGCTGAATTTTTCTTCTTTCAAAATAGAAGTTTTTGTCGCATAGACGAGTGGGCGTTGCAGACGTGTTCTTTAAAAAGTTTGCGCACTTCAAAATTCTTTTGCAAATTTTTAGGCGATATCTTCATTTTCGCTAACGGGAGAATGTTTACGATATGTTATACTATACAAATGGGCAGACGGACAAATGCACAAACGAACAGACGGACATGTTTAACTGCATTTCAAATTTGAAACTGAGCAAGAACTCATATACCTTATAATTTTTGCAGTGTGTTTCCGCGAGTCAGAAGGGTATTGAAGAAAAAATTAAATCTTCATACAATATAATATTGGGTAGGCGCTCAAATTTTTGTATATATATCATCTATAGTTAGTGGCAAAACCAAAATTTTTTACCAATTTTTTACGTCGAATTCGATGCTGATGAAGAAAGTATATAGTTTGTTGGATGTATGAAGGTTCCTTCTGGGCATTGAAAACGAATACGAGGGATACATTCGGTGATTGGTATAAAAATAAACCAGTAAGATGATTCATTCATTCTTAATTCGTCAATTCCGTAAGATAATAATATTCGACTGTGGCCGAATATTCTATACCCGCCATTGCTATCTTATAATAAAATATACTGATTTTTATTGTTGTAGTTTATGAGCAAAGAGCAAATAGGCGGTATTTTCGCTTTTGAAAACAGAGATATTCCCAGTAGCCATGCGTTTCGGTTGATTTCGCCAATTTCTCATATCAAAGTTCCTACAATAACTTATAATGTTTTTGCCAAATTTGAAGCAGAGGAACACAGTAGTTATTGAT